TTAATTTAATTTAATTTAATTTAATTTAATTTAATTTAATTTAATTTTATTTTTTATTGTTTCTCCGTTACGGGTTCACATCAAGTATTGGTTGGTATACAACAAAATACTTAACACTATTGATTATAAAGTAGTATAAGAGAAATATAATCTTCAGATTGGTTACAAACGGATATTGACAATACTACACAGTTGCAAGCTTTTCTGTTTCTTAATGCTAATTTATATTCAGAAATTTACGAACTATCGATGATGTAGATAATATCACAGATTTTTGTATGGCCCTTCGCTTTTCTACCATGTTGAGTTTTTCCAGGCTAGTGTTCAATGATTTTGGAATAACTCCTGTTGTCGAAATTATAACTGGAATCACCTCTACTTTTTCTAATTTCCACAAATCCTTGATCTCGTATGCTAAGCTCTGGTATTTTCTGTATTTCTCCATATAACAATCTTGAAGATTGTGAGTATTTGGTACGCCTATATCTATGAGGAACGCTTGATTCACTTCTTTTTCGACCACTATTATGTCCGGCCTATTGTGTGGCATTGGACGGTCCGTCAAAACTGATCGGTCCCAATATAGCTTGCTCGTTCTGTTTTCAATTACAGCGTCTGGAGTATATTTAAAGTACGGCAGCTCTTCCGTTACTAGCTTATGTTGTATCGCTAGACTCTGGTGTACAATTTTTGCCACCTGGTTATGTCTGGTTAAGTATTCGGTGGCTGCTAACGTGACACAAGCTCCTGTGATGTGGTGGATGGTTTCTGTTTGCTTTTGGCATCGTCTGCATAGGTCGTTTTCAACGGAAGCACGCATAATATATTTCGAGTAGTTTCTAGTCGCAATAACTTGATCTTGTATAGCGATCATAAAACCTTCAGTTTCGGCGTAGATGCCGGAGTGAATTAACCATTCGTTGGAAGCAGCGTTATCTACTTCAGGAGCGTCTAGAGCATGTGGATATCTGCCATGAACCGCTTTCATTTTCCAGTCTTGCATGAGCGACTGGATATGTTGCGTTCCTGATATTAATTCGATTGCAGAAAATTCACTAAGATTTAATGGTGAATATTTTAAATCGGCTTTGCACACGGTTTGGAGTAGGCTGTTCTCTTGGTTGTGGAAGTATAAACGAAGGCTTTGTTTACACTTATTATGTAATTGCTTAATGTCTACCATACCTCGACCTCCCTGTCGACGTGGCAAGTAGAGACGTTCTACTGCCGATTTTGGGTGATGCGTGCCATACTTTGTCAACAATGTCCTTGTTGCTCTCTTGACGTTTTCCAGTTCTGTTTCGGACCATTTTACTACACCAAAGGTGTATGTTAAAACCGGTATCGCAAATGCATTAATGGCTTTAAAAAGGTTATTCCCATTCAAGCATGATTTCAGCAAGCTCTTTACTCTTTGGAGGTATTCACTAGTTATGGCTGAAACTATTTCACTGTGCTGCATCCTCCTAGCCTGTAAAATACCAAGGTATTTATATGTGTCGTCTTCTGTCATCGAGTCTACAGTTTCATGAGTCATTAATTCAAATTCTCGCCTTATAAGTTTTCCATTTTCCACACTTAATCTTCGACATTTTTCTACTCCAAACGACATTTTTATATCATTTGAAAAATCTTCTGTTTGTTCCAGTAGCGTATTCATTTGACGTTCATTTGCAGCATATAGCTTTATGTCATCCACGTACAGTAGGTGTGAAAGTCTATATTGCGATACACGCGGTGCTTTTAAACTAAAGCCGTAGTTTGACGCATTTAGTATCGAAGAAAGTGGATTTAGCGCCAGACAAAACCATATCGGACTCAAGCTATCTCCTTGGAAAATACCTCTTTTAATAGGTATGGGAGCGGTTTTTATGAGTCCGTTGTTATGAAATAGTTTTAAAGTAACTTTCCATGAGTTCATAAGTTGCTGCATAAGACGTTTTATGTTCGGCGATATTTTATAAATGTCTAAAACCTCCAAAAGCCAAGAATGCGGAACAGTGTCAAAGGCTTTTTTGAAGTCGATATAAGATGTATAAATATTTCTTTGATTATGGTATGCTTGCTCCATTATGACTGTATCAATTATCAGCTGCTCTTTGCAGCCTTTGCTGTTTTTAACACATCCTTTTTGTTCGATGGCTAGAATGTTGTGCGTATCAAGATGAGTACATATTTTTTCGGCTAAACAAGATGTAAGAATTTTATATAGGGTACATAGGCACGTGATGGGGCGATACTTAGAAGGGTTCTTCGTATCTTTTGGGTCCTTTGGTAGCAGATATGTACATCCCTTCATTAAGAAGTTCGGTACTTGGGATTCATGTTTGAGGAATTTTGTAAAGTGTTGAGCTACCATACTGTGTGTGCATGTAAACTTTTTTAACCAATAATTATAAATACCATCTGGCCCTGCAGCCCGCCAATTTTGAGTGCTCTCTACAGCTTTTTTGATATCGGCCTCACTGAAAGTCGCGTCTTCCATAGCTTTTATAGATTCCGTTCTCTTGTACTCATCGTGGATCCACGCTGAATCGGTTGCATGTTTCGTGCTGGTTGACCATATAGACTTCCAGAAGCTTTCGATTTGCTCGGCGCTAGGTACTTCGGTTATATCTTCAGTCTTGTTGCGTTTAAGGTTTCTATAAAACCCTCTTTCATTTCGCTGAAATGATATGTTTTGTGTTCTTCTCTTTTCTGATAGAGTATACCTACGCAAACGGTTTGACTTAACAGCTAGTTTTTGGCGGATAGTATCTAGGTATTGTTCAGCTGTTTCATTCGACGGATCATGTTTGGAGTGCTTTTTATTTTCGAGTTTAAAAGTTTCATACCAGTTACGCATTTTTTTCGTCCGGTTTCCGTTCATGTACTGTATTAGCCGACCAATTGTAGCACGTAGCTCTTTTATTTGAGACGCCAGTCTGTGTTTCCATGGCGGATCGACTGACTTCTTTTTGGGAGGTATTCTACGGCTAACAGTTTTCCCTCCAGTGAAACGAATAACGGCTGTTGCCGCCACATATATTGCAGTCTGCAGTTCTTCAAACGTGTAATTATTATTTAAAATAAAAGTAGGCAATATTTCTTTGTTCATAATAGAAGTCGCTATAGCCAAACTTTTTGTAGCTTTTTGTTTGGGAAGAAATGGGCGTAGTAATGGATCAGTACCATTGAACTCTATCATTGCAGCATTGAATTCATTTCTTAGTATCGTCAAGTTTTAATTTTCGTCAACATTTGTTAATGCGTTTATCGCTTGGTGTTCGTCATGTTGATAAATATCGTTAACAGGCGTCATACAATCATCATTTGGTTGAGTTCTACCGATTTCAATTTCGGTAGATAGCTGGTTTTCTACTTCATTCTTTAATTCGTTGAGTCTTCGGGCTGATAGATACTTATTTCTAATTATTGCACTCCGTTGATCCCCTATCCTTTGTACTGATACATTCATGTTAGGGTATGCTTGCTTAAATAGTTCGTGCAGTCG